TCAAGGTGCTTGTGCTGCGCGACTACTGTTCCGGGTCATCGTTTATGGCATAAGAAACTCCTGTACGTGCTGTTTTCTTGTTATTCGCAAAAGAACGTTTTTTTTCACATTAAGGCTCATTCGCTAGTTAGCACACCATGCGGAAACTGTCATCAGTGCATTGTTCAATGTTACATGGTCGACTGGAGAAGTAATTTCTTTGTAGGGTATACAGTCGTCAGCAAAAAAGTCCTATGTTGACGGAGATGTCGGTGGGTAAGTCATTGTTAAAAATGAGAAATAGTGCAGGAGCCAAAACGCTACCCTTGGAGAACTCCGGACCGGTCACTAGAATAAGTTTAGAACTAACTGGTGTGGTTAATTTGTAAAATTCCGTCTGATTGGATAGGTAGTTCTCTTATCCACTCCTCTAACGGGCCGCTTGCTTAATGTGTGTTCAAATTTTAGCATTTTTTGGTGTGATACGCCGTCAAAAGCCTTTGAAAAATCAAGGAAATAATGGTCTGTCTGATTCAATTGATCAGATAACAAAAAAATACTACCCGAGATGTCATGTATAAGTGCATGAAGCTGAGTGACTGTGGATGATCTCTGTCGGAACCCATGCTGCGCTGGTGATAGAATTCTACTGTGGTCGAGGCAAGTATTTATATGTTTGAGGATGAGATGCTTCAAGTAGTTCCATGAGGTTGCTAGTAAGGAAGATGGGCCTACAGTTAGGAGGTTCGGTTTATTTCCACACTTGTGGACTGGGATAATTTTTTGCGATCTCCAATCATTTGGTAGAGTACCAAGTGCAAACGATTTTGATAAATGATTGTTAGATAATAGGATATTGCTCAGCACTATTTTTTAAGAAAGGCATTTGGAATTTCGTCTGATCCGGGGCTTTTTTTGCTGTCTAGTTTCAGTATTAGATTCAACACACTACCTTCTTTCTTATGTTCAGTGGGGCTAGAGCTATGTTAGATGAAGATTAAAGCTCGGTAGGTGACCATCATCTGCTGTAAAAAACGGAATGACAGTATTAATTCAGTACGTTAGCTTTGTTTTCATCTTCACGTGCAGACTCAGCACTGTGGTCGGGTCTTGGCAAAAGGTATTCCTGAGTGTTTGTGGAGAGGACTTCAAAACATTACTGAGGGTGTTCAAAGGTAAATATCTTTAGCTGCTTTCACTTTTGCTTTCACGGTTTTTATGGCTAGTGTGTGCCTGTTTTGTTGAGTTGGCTGGGAAAGTGTTTTCAAATAGTTCTTAGCCTTTCATCTTTCTTTTTCATGGATGATGTCGCGTTTTCTCCAAGGATTACGTTTGTTTTCCTTTGTACGGGAAAACACGTAATTATGAATGCAGTGTAGTACGATTGATTTGAATTTTGGCCAAATAATCTCTATGTTACCATTGGGAGCGTCGGCGAGATGTTCGAAAGCACTTAGTTCGTAAAGAAGATAGTCGAGTATGCTGTTCTCATCTGCCTAATTGAAATCGGAGTAAGTGGTGATTGTTTTTGCAGTAAACAGGCATCGTGTACAAGGATGGGCGCATAAGATGATATTGAAGTGAAGCATGCGCCCTGCAATGCAGACTTCAAGAACAGGTCCCACGATCTGGTGGCCCAAGCAATAAGTTTTGAAGACTGGCCTGCTCGTACGCGCAGGCCAGTCTTCACTGCACATGTTTAGTGTGGATCTAGCGTGGACTTTTGAGCGCTTGTCCTTCGCATCCGAAAAGATTTGTGCCAGCTCTCGTAATTGAGATTTGCTGGCATCATCAGAATTGTGTGGTCACCCCCATGTAAAGAAGAAAAGTCGACGCAAGTACTGGGCGACTGTTCAAACACTGCCACAGTCGCGAGGAGCCGCCAGGCGTCGGCTGTACACCTTCTGGTCCTGAGCCTTGGGAGAAACCCACGAAGGCAAAAGTGGATTATCGCGGTGCGACGGGTCAAGCTAATGAATTCCTCTTTGTAAATTGAAATCGCTTTACATTGCGAAAGCAGCAAAAGATGAGCTTGAATCTTTATTTAGGAGCAATTGTGTGACACATTTTTTGTTATTGTGCGGGATTTGTTACACAGGGTGGTTGCTCAAGGCAAGTTTATTGTTAAATATTTAACGTATTGCTGGCTGATCTTTTTGCATTCAAACTGCGAACATCGTCATCACAAAATAAAGAACATTCAACACAATTTTTTCGACAGCCTGCGACGCACTGTGTTGCCCTCTTGTGGCATCTGTTTTTTTTAATGCGAATGTCTTTCTTAGTTGGGCTATGTCAGGCATCCAGCGTTGTCTGCGGTGGTGTCCGCACGCTGGAAGGTGTTATCTCTCCTCTTTAACGCCCTATTCTATAGCAACAGCTTCGGGCACACGCGCTTATCCTCGCCCCTAGCAACTGGAACATGTGGTGTGATAGTAGGAGAGGGTAGGTGTACTGCTTAGCGGCTATTTTTCTCGTCGTTAACTGTATTTTCTCCCGGGCACCCCATCACAGCGTCCACTCAAGCCTCACTCTTGACCGTTTGCTGACTGGGCGCCTCTCAAGAACATCCGGAATGTGTGCTCAAGACACCGTTGAAAAATGCCAACTCTGAGCCGAGAACGTTGATGCCCCACTCTCCCGTCCGCTCGCTCCTCACTATCAACCGTTCGCTGGCTGGGCACCTTTCAAAGTGATGGCAGAAGTCAGTGAAAGCGAATGTTTGACGAGAACGGTACCCTCTCTCAGTGCAAGAAATGCATTCGCAATTTCTCACTGTTCCCTTCGGGGAGGGGGGGGGGGGGGGCTTTTTTATTGTAAGGATCTCAGTAAAGCGTGTTCACTATTAGGAAATCAAAAATTGTGGGTTCACTCGAAGTCGTGCTTCGTTTTGTTCCTGCTTTATGTTCTTCGGGTGCTGGATGCTTCATGTGGCATTGTCGTGATTTACGGTGGTGGACAAGGAACGGCAGAAGACATGCACTGTCATGCATGTCTTTTGTGCGCTGGGTACTTTGCGCTATTCATTAAAGCTTTTTGACCGCAAATAATCTATTAGTACATTCCTCTACATTGAAAATGGCGAAAAAATGTGTGGCACTCCAGTAGGAGAGAAAATTTATAGTTGAGTGAACACGGTAATACTTTTATAAATTATGTTATTGTGTAGCGTATTTCAATACTGTTATTATTATGACCCTTTCATTGATTGACACTGCTGCAAATTCTGCAGCTGGTTGATGGCAAATAGACTTCTTCTGTTGATTTCAATTTTAGGGACTCTTCCAGAGGGCAGGCTGGTTATTGTCCATCAAGCGGCAAGCATTCTTTCAGTAGCGAGGGCCGAAATTATTCATCAATGCCTTCGGCCGGCGTCAAACCACAATCCAAACCCGTGACATCGCACGCTGTCTGCATGTGCTGGTGACTGAAAAGGTTTCCGAGCAATTAGAGTTGTTGCGCAGTGCAACATTGAGGAGATATGTCATGTCAGAAGAAGACGAGACCACATAACACGACGTGACAATCTGAAGTAACAGTGGAAAAAAAGGCTTGAAGGCCACTGACCTGGGGGGGGGGGAGGGTGCCTGTGTCATCAGCGACAATAACATTGATGGGGTTGATGTCAGTGCGCTGGTAGCTCCTCCTGACGATTTTTTCCCTAAAGCTGATTTTTATATGGCAGGTACAGATACTACGAAGTTCCCTATGGGCTAGTCACAGTACCCAAAGCCACTGAATATGTTGGCGAGTTGCTCAGGGAAAGCCACTATTGAATATGTTATGGTGATCCAATGTCCTGTAAAAGTGTGAGCTGGGGTACGGGCCATGGCTTCAAATCCAAGCCTTAATTTCAAATCGCCTAACTATATATAGGTGAAGCTACATGTGGTGATAGCGCTCTTCTACGTGTTTCGCAAAGTGAATGTGCAGCCGTATTGGGAAGATGGGTTTATGTCACTGCACCGGCGTTTAGGCTGCTCAATGTGGTGATCCTCTTTTATATCGATCTGTATTTGCGAACATGTCTTACATATACGAATATTGAAGGCTTCCGTTGCAAGGGAAGGAACATATCCAACGTTACGACGCCGGAAATATTTGAAGTTGCCCGGCGACATCAAGCTAATACTTCTTCTACATTCGAGACATAAAACATTCCGCATGTCTATGCGCGAGATGCGTAGAGCTCTGTCACAACTTTATTCAGCACAAAGAGCTTCAAATAACAAGTAAAGCATTTTCTCTTTGTATATGTGGCAGTTGAACATTTGAGCGCGAAGATGGGTCTCAAAGAAAGCTGTTGCAGTTTTGTCCAGGTAGCAGATTGTCCAGCAGCCCAGCACAATGTCTAGCGACACTAAGAAAACTGCACTCACGTATAAATGTTTATGCGTTCGTACTCTGCAAGCAGTCCTCTATGGTCACACCTATAGAACAGCAGAAGTTGTCAGAGGTGCCTAAATTCTACTAGCGTTAAAGCACGAGCTCTTATTTTTCCGGTAGGACACAGATGCCATTTCCTCGGCCAGGGCTGAAGAATATTTCAAACCATGACTGCTGCTGAGATGCGTTGTGAAATGTGTCGTATTCAGTGCCTCCTCTAATGTGCCTAAAGGTTGACACAATTCATAATTATATTAGTAGGTTAGGAGACACATACGTTAATGAAGAGGAATTTTTTCCATCTCGCCGATAATTCACACTTGTCGCTTGGCGGCATTTGGCAGTATTTTTGGGTACATTGGGAGCACGGCAAAGACGGCAAAATGCAGATAGGAAACAGATCAGTGCTGACTCACATCCAAACTGTTATATTTCAAGAACAAATGAACGTGAAAGTACTGTAAAAAACCTATTTGCACTTTGTCATTCTCGCGCTGTACCGAAATGCTGCCCTACCAACTAGACCAACTTTCATCACTAATCTTCGACAGCACTTTACTTACGCGTGTTCCTTCAATATTATTACAATAATATTATTACAGTAACCCCTTACCCCCTTTGTTTCGCAGATAGTGCTTTCTAGTATGCTAACTGCAATCGACCTAGGCCAAAGCCATATTGCTACGACAATGGCCAAGAAAAGTGCTCCTGTGTCTGCGGTAAGACCTGCAGAGTCGTGATTCATCACTTTATATTGACATACCATTAATTTCATCATGCTAAGATTTTGTCACGTTCATTATCTGAATCGCCCGTAACAGTTATAATTAACAATCGACTTGAACTCTTTTGTACATTTTGGGCTGACTACATTTTGTGTATTCTTTCGCTCACTCGTCAACTTGAAGTCAACAACAACAATCGCATGCACTTCATGCTAAATAAATCTAGTTGTTCAGCGAGTTCAAAAAAGCCATTCACATTGCTAAAAATCTTCATCTCTAAAGCGCTTTTCTTAGGCATGGTAAGGTAGAAAACGTTTATTGAAAGCCTGTCGAGTGTGTTCAAACACTCATCGGGCCACTGCTACGTAGGGACCGGATGGCCTAGCCTCTTGAGTTCATCATGTGCCTGCTGAACAGCTAAAACATAGAGTCTTATTTGAAAAAACTTAAGAGAGGACAGTTTTATAGGCTCCTGCGTCAAATTTGGGTTCACAGCACTCCAGACGGTCGTTGGGAACCTTTGCAGCTTTCGAGATAGCAGACTACAGAGAAATTCGGCAGATACCACGTCGTTGGGAATCGACGCTATGCGAAGCATGCGGTGACACGGTGACCATGTTCCAATTTTTTATAATTGAGCGACATGTCATGAAATGACACTAAATATATGTACAAATGTTGCATGCACAGACATATGTTGCAGAGTTGCAAATGTTTATATAACCACTTGTGTGCACTTGCGCAATGATGCCATTTGGGACATGGGTATTAGCAGCACCAGATGCTGATATGAAGCGTTGATGCTCGCCGGGATGCCGGCCCTGTACACTGCTACATAAATCAACTTCAGCGTGTGGTAACTAACCACAATTGATGTTGCCCCGACGTGACTGCTGTAGTAAAGGAGTGCATATGTAATGTTTATTAATTGGGTAGGCAGCACTTGAACCAATACGGACGTTTCACAAAGAATAGCGTTCATTTGTAAAGTAGTTCCGAGACCTGGCGTAGCTGTGTGGTAGAATGCTTCATTGCCACGCAGAATTGTTTTGTTTGACCCAAGCTGGAACGCTGAAATTTATTCTATGCCTTCATTGAGTCGATGCCACCGATGTTGGGTATTGCTGAATGCTCACAATTTGAAATTACCCATGTGTGTTTTTGTTGTTCTTGGGTAGATACTAAGTAAACCACCTGTGGCAAATACCAGCATACTATCGACACACACCCGCCTGTGGGTATGTGTCACTGCCTGGCGTGAAGTGTTTGACGACGCACGTGACGGGATTGTGACAATATATATGTCTTGACCAGCGCGTCTTATTCGTCGAATCTTTTTACCCTACCATTTTTATTTTGGTTCAGGCTATGTTAAGCGGGCGACCAAGAGGGTGCCAAAATCATGAGCATAAATTACGCACCAGATAGACATACAGGCAACATTGTAACGAGAGCCGCAGAACAGCAAAACTACTATAAACACGCACAACTACACATACGGTGCACAACAAAACACTGCAGTAGTTGCCGCAGCATCTGACTCCAGCATGAACAAAAAAAAAAAGAAATTAGAAATGTTGGCCGCGTTTTCTTTCCCACCTTCTCGTAAATTTTCTCTTACTCATTCCCAAGCAGTTGCCACAGTGAAAACAGAAATTTTAGGTGCCATTCAGGCTGCAAACTAGGCAGGAGTGTTTATCGAGGCAGGTATGCTTATCGTGTTTTATATCATCGGCTGTCTCTTCTTCATAAAGCTAATTTATTCTCCTCATCATTCGCCTTTTGTCAAATATATGAAATAAAGTCTTGGTAAACAGCGGCAGCACCTTCTGGAATGGCGACAATACAACAGTCATGAGAAAGCCACACAAAAAGCACTGTTAGTGTTTTGTTGGATCAATCACCTCAAAAAATTATTTGGACAACTCACTTGTGTATAAATGCGTGTCTTAGATAGAGTGTACTATATGTTTGTATATATGATCATTGTATATTTGGTATCACTCAACAGTGACAAGTCAAGCCGGAGATCAGTAAAATTTTTTTGCGCGTTCACTGCTTTGCTGATTTCCCGTCAAAAGCTCACTAATAAGCATCCAAAGACGCATGTCAATTTAATGTGTTTTTTTACAGCCCGCATAAAATCGCAGGTGCTTCTTTAATAGAAAACGCGACGCCCAAAATCACGCACCATTTGAAAGCTCGTCTGCAACCACCTCAATATAACAACAGCAACAATAATAATAATAATAATAATAATAATAATAATAATAATAATAATAATAATAATAATAATAATAATAATAATAATATTATTATTATTATTATTATTATTATTATTATTATTATTATTATTATTATTATTATTATTATTATTATTATTATTATTATTATTATTATTATTAGAGGGGCCCATGCTTTACCAAGGTCCTATAAAATAGTGGTTGTGAATTTCAACCGTAAAACAAATTGATAATTGAACTACCAAATACGTTTAGCTCTTTGGTCTCTGAAATATTTTACAGCGAAAGCTGCTACGAGAACACCAAGGGTGACGAAACTGTACGCTGCCACCACCGCTGCTGTCCATAATCATTATTGCGCTAAATAACAAACATAACGGATGTAGTGGAGAGGCAGGAGTAGAAGGATGCTGCTACGTGGAATGCCCAAAACTAAATATTTTGTTTGCAGTTCACCTTGCGCCAACTGCTTTTGCCACACCTGTCTTCACCGACGCCAGCTTACGTCTGCAAGCGCAACTCTATGAAGTAACACCGACATCACCAGCTGATGTGCCAACCCCAGGAGCTTTTCGAAAACTAGACAAAGCTACTCATCTCTCTCCACCATTCAAGTGCCACTGGCTGCACAAAGTCTCTCAGTTGGTACGGGCACCTTTCCTTCAACAACTCTTCCCTCATACGCCGCCGTGCCACTCTAGTGCTCTCGACGATCACTGCGTGCGTGCTTCAACCAACGCGTGCCGACTTCTACAACGCATATGCTGCGCTCCAACTCTGCTTTCCTCTCCCAGCGCCAACGCTGATGATGAATGATATGTGGGGTTTAAGGTGCAGAAACCGCCAAATGAATATGAGAGACGCCATAGTGGAGGGCTCCAAAAACGTTGACCACCGGGGGTTCTTTAAAGTGCACCCAAATCAGAGCACGTGGGCCTGCAGCGCTTCCGCCTCCATTGGAAATGCAGCCACCGCAGCTGGGATTCGTTCCCGCGACCTGCGGGTCAGCAGCCGAGTACGTCAACCACTAGACCACTGCGGTTGCGACAGCGCCGACGTTGATGCGCTTCGATGTGCATGATCGTCAGTGTAAGACGCCGTCTGAGTCGCTTCTTTCCCTGCCACATCTCTATGATTGCTCTATTGGCAAGTGGCGTGCGACTGCACAGCAAAAGTGAGCGCTATGTCTTCTCCATCCAGGCCACCCATCTATTCTGATCTCAGCGACGTCACTGGCCTGCGAGCGCAGATGAGCCATCTGAAGCCGGAGGACACCTGGTTCACGACGAGATGCATTCGATGGTTACGCCTTCACGTCTCGCACGCGCCGGCTAGCGGTGCTCACGGAGGATGTCTGTCCAACGTATCGCGTCGTGTTTTTCACTAAGGATATAAATCCTACCTCTGCAAGAAATACACATATAGGCAACATTGTGTCAGTCCCGACCTCCGGAAGAAAACTGAGGACCCTGTCATGACTCTGTTTTCTTGACCGGGGGACTGTATAATACTTTGATTGCGACTCCGTCTAAACGGTGGGGGGCCTGCCACGTGGTGGCTTACTGACGCAGCGACGATGATGAAATTGGCATTGGGGCGAGGAGGCGAGCGCGCGGGCCATGGAATGAAATAGTTGGTTTTCGTCATTCGATATAGCCGTGTCCTTCTCATACTACCTTTCAGCTTCATAGCGAAACCAATGCAGAATTAAACTGGGTTCAAACCTGGGAGCTTCTCGTGGAAGCACACTATTCAATCCCAAAGACGTGCTAGTGCTCGACACTACTGCGCGAAAATCTATACACAGACATTATGTTGGGATGGAACCACGTTAACACACCTATACAAGGTGGTAGAAGAGTAAGAAAACAATCAAGCATCATTTTATGCGAACGGTTTATCAAGGCACCATGCAATATGTGGAATGCGTAAGTAGTGGGTTGTTGAAGGCTTTCTACTCATTATAAAATGCTCAGTCGTAAGTGCTCATCTTCACCAGCTACTGAAATAGATATAGATATATAGATAGATACATAGATAGATAGATACATAGATAGATAGATAGATAGATAGATAGATAGATAGATAGATAGATAGATAGATAGATAGATAGATAGATAGATAGATAGATAGATAGATAGATAGATAGATAGATAGATAGATAGATAGATAGATAGATAGATAGATAGATAGATAGATAGATAGATAGATAGATAGATAGATAGATAGATAGATAGATAGATAGATAGATAGATAGATAGATAGATGTGGTTTGACGCCCTAAAACCACCCTATAAGTATGAGAGACGCCGAAATGGAGAGCGCCAGAAATTTTCCTCACGTAGGGTTTTTTAACGAGAACATAGGCCTACAGCATTTTCGTACTGTAGCACAATATCTCTAGGTGTTCGTATCGTAGGACAATGGCTCTACAGTACCACATTAGCTCTAGGTATTCACGTTTTGCCTTTTGCCAACTTGCTTAGGTTCTTGCACTCAAATGCTCATGCACAAGAGAACTAGTGAAAACAACGTATTTAATTGCAGTGTGTGCCTAATATACCATATTTTTTTTTCAATAGTGAGCCCCAGCACTCCTTGCACGCAAATACCAAGCAATGGCTGCAACCTCAAAGAAAATTGCTCAGAAGGTCATGGTGTCTGCCTCTGTCGTTGCGGTAGGTGCTTTGTTATTGCAAAATCATGCACGCTTGTTTGACCATCATGAACATTTATTTCGAGGTTTTTTCGAAGCTTCATTAAACAGAGCATCTCAACTACTACATGTTTGATTATAGCATATGCATAGTTCGTGCGTTGCCACAAAGATCATTTTTATTTAATTTATTTACCTGAACATTAGGTCAATGATCATGCCTATTGTATAACTCTCCACGCTGCCATACATTTTAGCATTTCAGTAACAAAACTTAAAAAGTGCTTCGAACACTTTCATTATTGTTCAGACAACTTTTCTGTTTAAATTTCGAAATGCAGTTTTCTTTATCACACTGATGAATTGCCTAATCAACCTAATAATCTAGCTACAGGCGTGTGTACAACCACGTATGTGGTGTGTAATTATTTATTATTTATATATTTGGTGACACATTGGGCCAAGTGTAACGAATACCTGAAAACATGCGTATATATTTACGTACCTAGCGCTCCCTACAGCCAAGTGGTTCATTCATGTGTATGAAAGCATCTGTAATGTTTTAGATACATCCGAAAGCAAAAAACAAAATGTGGCAGATCTCACGTACCTGTAATCGACGTTACGCAAAGCATGCGGAGGGTGAAGGTGACCATGTTGATTTTTTTTTACTGAGTGACACGTCACAAGATGATGCTAAATATATGTACATTTGTTGCACGCACCGATGTACGTTGAAGAATTTCAGTTGTCTATATAACCAGTTGTTTGCACTTGCGCAACAATGCCAACTGCAACATGCATATTAGGAACACCAGAAGCTCATATTAAGCGCTGATACTCGCGAGGATGCTGTCCCTGCACACTGCTACATCAATCAACTTCAGCGCATGGCAACTAATCATAATTGACGTTAACCCAACGTTACGGCTGTGTCGAAGGAGTACATAAGTAATGTTTTAAAATTGAGTAGGCAGTTCTTAAACCATTTTTTACGTTTCACGAAGATTAGTGTCTCTTTGATAAGCAGTTTCGAGAGCTGGCGTAGCTCTGTAGTAAAATGCTTCATTGCCAAGCAGAATGCTTGGGTTCAACTGCAGCTGGTACACTGACATATATACTTTGCATTTGTTGGATCGACGCTACCGATGTCGGGTATTTCTTAACGCTCGCGCGCAAGAAAAATCGCCGGTGTGTATTCTCGTCGTTCTTGGGTAGATACTAAGTGTCAATCGCCTGTGGCACATACCCGCATACCAGCGGCACATATCCGCCCGTGGGTATGTTCCACTGCCTGGCGGGAAGTGTTTGATGAGGTACGCGACGGGACTGTGACAGTCTTGACCAGCGCGTCATATTCGTCAAACCTTCTCACCCTCTCTTGTTATTTTGCTTCACGGCAAGTTAAGTGGTTGACCACAAGAGCACCCAAACTTAAATGACTAAATATATAGATAGATATATAGATCGATATGGTTAAAGTAGCCTAATTTCACTAAAAATGCTTCATCTTTAAAAAATTGTGATACTTGCGTGATTGGTTTCCATCTGCGTGATTGGTTTCCGAAGGTGCATGCGCCCTTCCTTGCTGGAATATCGCGAAAAGCAGTGGGGAGGCAAGAGTGAGTTTTGTGATTTTGGGTGCCTTGGTTCTGGAAAATCAGCTTGTTTCAGATTATACCACGTGTCTCCACCACCTAACCAGAACGACACGGCGCCGTACAAGTAAAATGGAAAAAGCAAACTATGCGCAGTTTTGTTCATAGAAGATATCCGAAGCTGAAAGTCAAGTGTGAACGTAGCACAGCGATACCATCAAAAATATGTTATGTTAAGATAGTTGAGGGCAAAACCAAATCAATGGTGTTAGGCTGCGTTCATTTTTAGTCCACTGGCCCACTTTCGGCCGATAAGCGTTATTGTGCTTGTGCCTCAGAAAGAGAGCAAAAGTATCACACAGGAGAAAACTTGTTCTTTAAAGGAAAAATGTACTTAAGGAAAGTCATTCGAGGAAGATAGTAAGTGCGACCTTCTCCAAAGATTAAAATTGTAACTATTGTTACAGCAGATTTTTGAGCACTGCTGGGAGATTTGAACTGTTATCTTCATGTCCTTTAAAGGTCACTGTTGTGCCTGAAGGGCGATAAAATGAATGCGACACAACAAATTTGAACCTCACACGAAGAGCGGTAAGCAGCTGAAAATTTTATGCGCGTTACTCAAGCACCAATGGCGGAATAAAGGAATACACACAGCGTGAGCGCGACATACAAGTTGCCACAACTCTACACTCTCAGTAAGATCATCAAAGGCAAAAATGGTCACGCGAAAAAGAAATACACTGTTATTCATAGCACGACCACGAACTGTCCCGGTTTAACTTAACTAGCCGCTCCTTCGTTTCTTTCAGCTATAGCAGCTCAATGCGTACGCAAACAAGGCCTGCATAGCGAGAAAAACTGACCTTCGTGCAGTCTGTAAACACCACGAACTTTGCTGCGGACGTGAAACCCTCTCTCTCACGCATATGCGTAAGCATGGCTGACCACTTTTATGAGTCAGGATACAAGTCGGGTGTTCAAACACCACCCTAACTCTGCAGAACACCATAGAAATATTCATAATCGGGGGTCCAAGGAGCTAGGGGAACGAAGGAGCGTGAATCTGCAGGGCGTGTTGCCACAAGGCCCTGTATCACCCTGCAGGGTGAGGAGTTTTGTTCGACGCCCAAGTATGCTGTGAGCGTCGAACAAAATTGGAGGGCGCACGGCCTCTACCAAAGATGATAAATACGGCGCATGTCAAAGGCACGTGCAAGCCGTGAATCGCATTCTCTGCTGGCTTCGTTTCCTGTCATAGTGCTAGATTTATACTGAGCACCTATCTTTCACCAAAACTAGAAATCAAGCGTGAGCTTCCAGCGACACGACGCCATTATAGCCATAGCAGATATGCAGCATGGCCAATGACTAACATAATTTCATTGCTCCACTTGTGCTGTCCCATGCGTTTGACATAATGGCATGTGCGCTTGCACACTGGAGAATAAATGACAAATGGTATAATTGTCTAAGGCAGCGCGCTAAGCAATGGAGGGTTGGTTGACGCAAGTCCCGGTGACACGCTTGGAAATATGTTGGGGGTGAAGCACCTAAGCTGTGAACTTGTCGATGTATCATAGAGGCGCATTCAACACAAATTCCACTATTCGCTATGAGTTGATATACCATAGATGTCATGAAGTAAACCTTTGTCGTTACTGCCTAAAGTTGATATCTGGCTTAACAGTCGCGTAAACCACTCTTTGAGATATATTAGTTTTGTGTTGACGCTTCGCTCGCGCCTAACCACTGAGATTGTTGAGGAAGGCAGTGGTTATACCAACAGAGAGCTCGTGACGTTAGCGTACACCTTGAACACCTTCACCTCGACCTAGTTGTTCTCGGTGGGAAACACATCCAGCAAAAATTGCAAGGCAGCACCCACCTACTGAATTCCCGGACCCAGATAAGGGTATACATGGAAGCGTGACACCAAATCCGGTAAGAGACAATACAGCCGCTGCCGAACATGAGGTGAGAAAATTACCTTTCCAATGGGCTGTTCACACCGTTGGAGCTAGCCCTTCACGGCTACCGTAGTGACACACAGCTATGCTAGGCATTGCAAAACAGAAGGAAGTGAAGCGAAAAGAACAGTTTTTTGCGACACCTCATGGCAAGACAGCCGGCTTAACAAGTTTCTCTGTCCACCCTTTGTTAGGATAAAATATACATCACTATGCTTCAATTGGCTTTGCCTGAGTGGCCCAATACATGGGTATGCTTTTATTTGCTCAACCCTGCTCCATTCCCTCTTCTCTCTCACATCCTTCCTGTTTAGCCTGTCTTCCCTGTGCTGCCGCTTTTCAGAACACTACTAGGTGGTTATGCTGCAAATGTTTTTGCCTCATTCACGCGATAAATGACTGTGATATGCTTTAAACCATCCGCTCCTTCTTTAGCTCCAAACAACTCTTAATTATTTTCCTGCCCTCTCTGTGCTATACCATACATTATTTTGCTACAGACTAATTTGTCTCATTCACACCAAGCAATATGATATGACAGAAGATGTATGCATCAGTTACCAGATTGTAGCATACGTCAGCTCGAGCCCCTGAAGTGACCCGCACGGAAAATTCGCCCTTATCTTCGTCGTTGAGAATGCGGAGAGGTCCCGCTCACCTATCGGATAGACAATATGCTGAGCTATGTGGTGTCCAGAATATCGCTTTGCATTCTCTATCTCTTATTTGTTTTGAGATAGCTTGCTAGGTTTGTTTAGGTTCAGTTAGGTACGAAAGCTCCACTTTGTCTTATTCATCTTAGCGAGCGTGTACATAGAAGAGCACTATATTGAACTACGCGATATTCAACATACCTTATGTGGTCAGGTTAATAAGGAATATGTAATGATACAGTGAGTTACCAAGTAAAAATACGATGATGCAAGCACATTCATGGGCCCCTAAGTTTGAAACTTGACATGTCTTTTTGTACGCCTCTGCTTACAGAAGTCTGGTAATGAAGGAGCCAGCAGGAATATGCCATGGAACCAACCGATCATGGAAATGACATCATCCTTCCAGCTCTCTGTTGAACTACTTGACTGCAAAGAAAGCTTATTAATACATGAGGTGGCTTCAACTCTCTCTTTTATGAAGATATATTTGTGAATATGTGAATAAGTGGGGGCTGCACCGTTGAGGTTTCGGCAATAAATTCGTTTTCCCTCTCTTATGAACTACACCATAAAAATAGTGCGTGCTTGTATGGTAAAATAAAGATTACATTTTCAATAAAATTTCACAGTGGGTGTCTAACACAACAAACAGTTACCCAGATACTCGTCGTATGCCATGACAAGCTTTTCGGCAGCTAAAGCGACCACTGCAAGGGTGCTCAAATAAAGCCCATGTGGCTAACTCTAAAAATAACGAATGAAAAAGACAATTGAAATGCCTAAAATATACTTTTGTAAAGAGGATAAGTGACACCAAGTTTAATATTGGAGATATGGCATTTATCAATTGCTTGGTAAGCATAATTTTTTAGCGACGTATGAATGGCGTCCGTTACATAGACAGTATTATATTTGTAGCCCAAAGAGCACTCAAAGGCTCAACGGCGCGTTCGCGGTCATGAGACATCGACAACATTTTTGTGTTCAGCGAGCTCCTTGGTCACGCCTCAAGTGCTGAGGGCTGATGAACGAGCAGCGATTTAGTGTTGTCATTTCGGTGTCTACATGTGGTACCGTCTGGCGGCAACGCCTGGCTGCCTGGTGACGGCTTTTCTTGCTTTGTTTTGCTTGGTTCGTGCAGCACGTCTGTGTTCATCCTGCGTATTTGTTGTGCCGCTTCGGGCGATATGTCATAGAGTCGCGAGCGCAAATATGACTATTGAAGCTACGGTCACTGAGAACAAGTAGCAACAGGCATGACGTGTCCATATGTCTTACTAGTCAGCCTTACCATCCATCGCGCATATGCCTCACGAGTCACACATCGATTTCAAAATCACTAGTCAAAAGCTGGAGAGTGGAACCGAAAAGAAATCGCAGCATATACACGGAGTGAATGATGATGAGTGGGGCGAAGCGTCCGTCGGCCCATCTGTGCTTCCATCCATCCGTCCGTTCTTGCTTCCATCCGTCCGCGCGACTATCAGTGAGTTCATCCATCCGTCCATCCGTTTGTCCATACGTTCGTCCATGAGTCCATCCATCCGTCCGCCCGCCTTTTATTCTGTCTGTCCGTCCGTCCGTGCTTTCATTTTGTGAACACTTTTAAGTACCGTCATCTCCCATCTCGCATCCCCTGGGCACATACCCGCTCTAGAACGAGTATGGCACCACTGGTGGCTACATACACCAATGGAGTATAGAAAGACCCAAAGCTTAAGAAGCTTCACCCCGAAAATGTATATAAAACCATTGTGTGTGTAGATATTTTAAACGATGCTTGAGCTGCTACATGTGTTTGTTTAGTTGCGCTACTTGACCATTCCGAAATTTTTGTGTTTACCTGCAAGCTAGGCAACCTCGCATTCCCTGTGAGACATACCCGCTCTAGAACGAGTACGTGCTACAGGTGGCTACATATACCAACGGAAGATAGACAGACCTATACCCTAAGGAGCTTCGCCCCTAAAAGATTGGCCACGCCATGAATCCCCACGATTCCATACTCTTCAGTGATTTCATCGTCGCTTGTGAATGCTGATGACGGTGGCATCAGTGCGGGTTGCAAAAATATGCCTCTACACGTACGCGCCGAGCAGACAAAATGTGAATTCAGACCCGCATCCCCATTTTTATGTGAGCTCGGGATAGCACAAAACGGTGACCTCACAGTACCACGGGTGACCACTTGGCCACACTGGCATGCGCTGAAAATCGACAGGTTTGGTACCCGTTTTCCAATGAGCTTGATACTGATGATGCTAATCAATATTACAAATATCAATTTCTGGCTCTGTTAGATTAGTAGCATGAAATCATTACTAGAGGATCTGCCACTGCTAGTGCGGCGGCAGCTTATACAGCAGATTACAACCATTCTACACTGTGTCTATCAGAGGGCATGCGCTACTGGGCGCACTCATGAAGCAAGACACATTGAGTATGTGTTACCACCAGCGATGTACGGCTATTCAGTTAGCTGAGGAGAAAAATAGTGGTCATATCAAAATGCATCAGAATGCAGCAGTTTTACTTCCGGGGTGCAATTCGGAGCAGCTGGCGCAGCTATCACTCCAGCGGCTTAGTCATACACGCTGAAAAGCGCACTTGCCAGAGAGCGAGTACGCCAAACTCACTTGGCTACGTTTCTTGCTCATAGGCAGTTTAAAGTGATCGCTGACAGGGGCATTTTCAGCACACGCAATGCAATGGCTGCATCCGCCACGTTTGTATTTACAGTTATTTTTCGAAGGGCTATCTATAGTTGCTCTGCAACTTAGTTCCGGGAATGTTGTCGAAAATAACAAATATCTCTAGTGCAATTCAGTTACGCATTTTAATAAATATAATATACAAAGTACACTTCGCTTGACTGTTCAAAGGACTCCGTCAAAGTGTACATTCTGTGTGCGTAAGCTCAGTCGCCCAAAATGGGAATAAATTCGGCAACATAACAAAGCTATAATTTGCGGAGCACTTGCAGCTTTGATACATTGCGCTTCGTAAAGCGGGATATATAGGGATTCATTGTCAAATACATTTGAGACGCTTAAGTACAAATATGCTTTGTACACGCGATGACCCCCACATGCCCCATTCCTAGCTGCGTCTCATGCGATGAGTAGTGGTGGAAAACATTTGTTGCGATGTGGCATCAGTTTCGACAGCTCACAGTTCTCGACAGCTCACAGTTTGTGCGTACGTCTCTCTTTTTGTGTCCTTGTCGTGGTGCGCAATACCCTTACAAATGATGAACCCCAACTAACTAGCCCGGCAACGTGTCTTAGCGAATCACAGTTCTGAGTTGAGGGCTCTGGGCAGGCGGTTTCACTTTCACTTGCCGGGCTCGTAATACTACGTCTTCAGCACGGCCAGATCTACACGCGAACCTCAAACTATTGATTATCAAGATCATGTATAGTTAGTAAAGCACGCCATTTGATATAATAGACAAGCGAGATTATGTGATGGGAATCTGCTGCAAGTCTTAGAACGCACGTGAAAAGCCCTGTTCAGTCAAAGTGAGATATTGTGACATACAACTTAGGCGGACGGCTTTTCAGCGGACACGTTCGGGACATCATGAAATCATCGCCATACTGAAGAACGCGTGCGTTTACAACCAACTGGTGGACGCCGAGGGACGTGATTTGCTGCTCAGCAAACTAGTTTGCTGTGGGAGCCGGCCGCCTCTTACGAGACGCAGGCATGTAGATAAGCAGTAAGATTGCTCGGTTTCCAACTTCGAAAAAAAAGTCGCACTTATATTCTAAAAGCTTTAATTAGAGTTACGGCTTGTAGGACTTAGGAATGTTTACACTACAATATAAATAAATGTACTAAACTTTGATATATAGATACTTTTAAAACATGAATATGTGGAAATATGCAATTTGCGGAACAGTAAATTATAAAAAAAAGTTTCGTGTAGTCGTACGCGACCTGAAAGTAGGCGTGAGGACAACATCTCCTGCATTCTCCCTCCATGCTCACTGTATATTTAAGTTAAGGGGTGTTAGAAAAAAGCTGGTGAAGATGATATTTAAGAGGTTGGTTTTGCCCAAAGCTTCCAAATTATATCTTGATCTTTCAAGTGGGAGGCAAGTCGATGAAATGAAGAGAGAAAGAACACAAAGAGAAAAGCAGGGAGCTAACCAGGGCTGAGCCTTGGTAGGCTACCCTGCACTACGCCCAGACGCAGACGGCACAACGCTGTGCCTTCCTCCATAGAAAGACCAGAGGGTAGCCGCAGTCGTTGAGATGGATGGAAAGAATATAGTCGATGATGTGCGAACTGTGATGACCACCACTTCTGGAGTGTCATGTCCTGCGCAAGCTTACTTAGTTATCTAGCCAAGTCAATCCTAGATTAACGTACGGACACAGGGTTTGCTTGTACGTATTCATTTCTAGCTGCTTCATCAGCGAGGTCATTGCCGGAGATACCGCAATGACTTGGTATCGACTGGAACACAATGTTGTGTCCTTGTTCGGTTGCATAGTGCAGCCTTTCTCTGGTCTCACATACCAGTTGTTCGTACGACCCGCGACGAAGTTCCAACGAAAGACATTGTAGAGCCGCCTTGGAGTCACAGACTGCTGCCCATCGATTAGCCGGTTGTTGATTGATATTGACGCGCGTATATTGACGCGCGTATATAATCGATGGCACCTCGCAGGGCAACAATTTCCGAACCAGTCGATGTGCTCACGTGACAAAGTTTGTAATTGATGTGGATGTGGCAGAATGGAATGACGGTGACGCCTGTGGAGCTAGTCCGAGTGGTAGATCCATCCGTGTATACGAGGATTCTGCCTGCGTAGAAAGCGTGTAGACAGTACAGAGTGGCTTGCTTCAAGGCCGAGGCAGAAAGGACTTTTCTATTTCTTATTCCTGGGACAGAAAGGCGCATGTCGGGTTTCCGTAAGCTCCGCAAGGCGGATGGTGAACGCCCCAAGGGTATAAAACCAGATGGTAGCAAAGCACGGTGGGAGCTGACGACCTTAGAGAACGGCACCTGCGGTCGTTGTTCTGGCAGAAATGTCAAATGGCTCGATACCATCCGTGAATAGTGCCAGATATGTGCTCCCAGCACATCGGTTGTGAAGTAAGACATAACCGGATGATCCCGAGCCAATATAACTGCTCCAGTGGTTGAGGTAGTTCGTGGTAGGCCGAGACAAACACGTAGTGTCTGTGCTTGCACTCTCTGAAGTGCTTGAATGTTTGTCTTGCAAGTTTTAGAAAGCAGAGGAGATCTGTAGCGCAGTACACCAATAAAAAGTGCTTGGTGAAACTGTAGCACGGGACTCAATCACGGACGTCATCTTTTTTCAGTGAAGACTTTCAGGACGTGGGCAATATATACTAATTTCGCTTTCAATCTAGTCACATGAGGACTCCAGGAGAGGTCGCGGTCAACAATGACACCTAGAAAACGATGGCTACGCTTGTACGAGATGAGCTAGCCATTCATGCTTATCGGGTAACTTGTCATCGCCTTG